GTAACGATGCCGGTTTCCTAAAAATCGGATTTCCAAGGAGGGTCTAACGAGGCCCATAGCCAGGGTTTCATGCATCTTCTTCAGAGTTGACCCTGAAGTAAGTGTGTTCCTTATTCCATCCTGTGTGGCGATTCTGGGGCTATTTTTAGAATAGGGAAATTTGGTCTGCCTGTCAGGGTATAGTTGAAAATTGAAATTCAGATTGTGGGACAACCATATCCAACTTCCCCTACCTATCTTCTTTGACCTCTACTAACCCTGTTTGACCTTCTTTCTGACTCATATTTCATCTGTGACTGCTTTACAGTATTGCGATTTATACTGTGTAGTGAATTGGTAAATTAAGGGTCCTGTTCTCAGTGATAATGCAAATTTGAATTCTGCGCTGACATAGGTAAAGCTTGGCTAGACTAGGGATAGTCATAACTTTGATTCTGTCCGTCAGAATTCAATTTTGTCACTCCTTGGTAAATCGCAATTCAGTACTCGGTCTGTGTCTGAAATCGCACATCCAGATTTGATGTTCTGAGTCAGTTACAGTGAAAATTGTAATTCGCCATACCTAGGGTATGGCATTCAGGGTCATACAATGGTGAAGTCTGTAGGGTAGGTCTAAAAATAGGGTAACCTGTAAATCGCTGCATCTTGGTCATCAGTGGACACCTGTCAAACCCTAATTAGTCACTCTGTCTAATTACTAATCAACACTAATTAGTCCAAGACTGCATCCTGTCAGTTATTAAAGCAGGATTTGCAATTATAGTATGCAATTGTTTTGTCAGGGCAGGGATGGAAAAATCGTGAAATTGATTTTTGCCTGAGTGATCTCTAAACTGACTCTGACCCTCAAGCGGTCTGCTGAGAATGAGCACTCACTTGCTCGGACCAACCAACCTTCTCTCTCCAGGCAGGTGACAGCAATTGAGTGAGTACTGAAGGGAAATCTCAATTCCTGTTACCTCCTGTTCTGTCTCTGATTGATTGTTTATTTTTATTTATCTGAATTGTGGGAAATGGCAGATGCTGGGAAGGCAGAGGCTTCTGAGGCCAAGCCTCAGATTCCGCTGGACCTTTTAGAGGCTGAACTGCGGGCCCAGGAGGAGAAACTCCGCCAGCAGGCCCAGACAGTTGAGTCCCTAAAGGCGGAGCTGAAAAAGAAAGAAGCAGCAGCTCAGAAGGAAGCCAGGAGGAAGTTGCTGATTGCAGATGTGGAAAAGATCAGGACAAGTGATAGTTCCAGTCAGTACAATAAGGACATGGCTGAATTCATCCTCTTGCAGGATGATATTCATCGTTCTTATTTTACTAACTGGGACGACCGGATTACCAGTCTGGAGAGCAGCCACTCAGCGTTTTCCAAAAAGTTGGATGACATCTCTGCCAAACTGGATCTGATCTTCACTCATTTGAAGATCCCTACCACTCTGACAGCCCCTCCCTCTCCTGGCCCTCCTCAAGGGAAACATACATCTCCCCCACAATCCAAACCCTCATCTCCATCCTCTACACCCAAATCAACAGCAACTTATCAGCCCTCACTCTCATTTGATCAGCAGCGGCCCAAGCTGACACCTCCACCTATGTTCTCTGGTGAGGACCCAAAGGTGGATGTAGCAGACTGGGTTACTGCTCAGCGAACCTACTTGAGTGGGTTCAAATGTGATGAGGATGTGAAGGTGTCAGCCATCCTTGCTCGTCTAGAGAGGACTGCACTGAAATGGTGCACCTCTACCTCCAACAAGCAAGGAATGGAGATGTCTGATTGGGCGCAGAGGTTGGGGGTGGCTGGTTTTCTGCAGGCCCTGCAGGGTAGGTTTGCAGACAAGGAGCAGGCCAGGAAAGCAGCAGATAAAATTCTGCGCCTGGGCCAAAAGAAATTTGATGGCTCCCTGTCCAAACTCTATTCTACCTTTGAGAGTCTGACATCGACTCCAGGATTAGAGATGAGTGAGCAGGATCTGCTCATTCATTTCTTGCGGGCAGCGCCTGAGCAATACCAGCTTGCACTTTTCTCTCAGCGCCACAAGGACTTGGAGTCCAAACTCCATGTCCAGAAAGCACCTTCTGAAGGAAGGAAGGGACCCTCCTCAAAGGGGCGCAGAAGGAGGAAGGGTGCCCTGTTTGCTGCTGCAGCTTCCAATTCAGATGATGATGCAGCATCCCAGGGTGGGACCCCTCCATCTGAGACTGCTTCCTCATCTGCTGCAGATTCTGTTGTTCTTGCCCTGGCTGATGTTTTGATGGGCCTGACTAATGGCAAGGCCTCTGCCCAGAAAGCACCAACCAGCAGCAAGGGGAAAGGTAAGGGACGTGCCTCTTCCCCTTGAGCCCAGAGAGTACCACTACCACGAGACGTTCGTTGGCCAACTCACCCCCTTGATCCTTCCTTCCACCTTCCCCTGACATGAACTTAGGATCCAGGAGGGAGTATGGAGGAAGAGGAAGGACAAGGGTGTCTGCCTGAGATGCGAGGGGGACCACTATTTGAAGGATTGTCCCCATATGCCTCGCAGGCCTTCAGGCTCGAACTAGAGAGGAGAGAAGTGGAGTTTGCAACTCCCTCCACCTGTGCTGATTCATCGTCTGATGAAGTTGAATCTTCACCCTCTCTAGCTGATTCATTTAGGAGTTGCAGCATCAGGGTCCTTCACGTATGAGGACACTGATTTGTAGCACATCTAGGGATGGCACAAGTAAGGGTCGCAACCCCTTTTACTTGTGACTGGACTTCTCTGAGGAGATGTTTCCTACTTCCTTGGACAAGCGTATTTGTGTTGCACTGTCAGAACTTGCCGATGCAAATTCTGGCCATACTCAACGTCCTGACTAGTGTTAGCTGCTGATTTGGCAAGTTTCCCTCGTCTTGACGCTGAGTGGTATGAGCCATATCTCCAGGCTTTCAACATCCTGCCCCTGACCCCTTGTCTGTTAGACAAGTTGAGTCCTAGCATGACCGTCACTGACAGCCTGGGTGTTTATGTTTTCATGCTACACCGTGTTGAGGTTGCTTGTTTTGCTCGCAATCTCTTATTGCAGTCCTTCAGTCTAGAATGATAATTGTAGTAGAGAGCTATGGGCTCCACTATATCACTCTACTGACCGATTGCACTTGGTTCCATGTCTACTAGGGGTAAATACCCGGACCAACGACTATAGCTCCATGTCTAGGTAGCTCAACTTTTCAGCATGGTCGATTGCATTATAGTCGGGTGCCAAGTTTTACTGTGGTCATTTGACGCAATCGAGACCAACTGACACTCTGAGTTCTCCTTTTCCTAACATCACTGTTTATGGTGCTGGTCATGAGTATAGGAGACCGGACTGCAACAATAGGGCGTCGCCTACGGAACCTCGACTTTCAGAAGTGGTCGATTGCGCGACAGTCAAGGACCAGGTCTTACCGTGGTTTCTTGATGCAATCGAGACCAGTTGACACTTTGAGGTTACCTCTTCCTGACCTTGCTGTTCGCAGCTTTGATCAGGGGCACAGGTTACCCCGCGAGTCTCTCGGGTTCTCCTCTTCAAAGTTTTATCTCTACATCCACTTCATCTGCTGGTTTATTACCAGGAAATGAAGTATGGACGCGGAGGTCCGCTCTCCCCAGGGGGGTAAGTATGTAATGAACCCTGTAGATTCTCAGTGGACTGTACATTGGGCCGAGGGCGAAGCTTGGGGCTTGCCTCGGTCTGGTCGCGTCTTTGGTTAGATTCGTAATTTTGTTTGGCTGAGGGGTAACCGTGTGACCTGCCTGTAAGGAAAATCCGTGAGGGACATATCTGTAAATACGGAAAATACAGGCCCGTACTAACTCTGAATTTCCTACAGCTAACCTAACTGCGAATAGCAGGCCCGGGCTACCCCTAGGACAAACAGACCCTAAGGGCCTATGCTGATAGACGGTCCTATAGCCTATAGCCGGGTAAGGTAGAGGCTGAGAGGCCAAAACTCAATTGGTACCGGTCGGTCAGTCAGTCCGGTCTAGGCCGAGTCTAGGCTAGTTGTAGTCTATAGATAGGATGGGCACATCGGTTCAAGGCTTTTGGCAGTTGGTACCGAGTACATCGCTGCTGCGCTACGCGTGAACCGGAAGTGGTGACGGCTCAGCGTGGAAGGAGACAGGCATAGCCAG